CCCGCTGCACTGCATACGGTCCAGAGACGCTTGACCCAGGTTCACGTGGAGCTTCGTAATTTGGATTTTCGTATCTCAAACCGTCTTCATTGTTGGCCCATGACACGCCACCATTTATTAAATCATTATTATATCTGTTGAAAAAAAAACATACAATAATATGATCAGAAGATAGAACCGATTAAATCTAACTGGTGGTTTTCATGGAAATGCAGAACAATGTCATGTGCTGTATATATTTAAAATTAAAAAAATGCATAGCAATTAAATAATTATAACAGCTTGGAATTAACATAAATGCAATAAATGTAAATAATATTCAGTACAGCAATAGTAATAAATCTGACTGAGCAGTCATAAAAGAAAAACATTTAAAACTTATAATACTAAGCTAGGGCAGAGAAAAAATGAAGGAGAGAGATGCAGAAAGGTCAAACAGAACAGAGAAAGACAGTTTTAATCTAATGAATTTATGTTGTTTATTTTCTACAGAATAAAAGAGGATATTAATGATTTTGCTCACCAGTGTGCATAGCTTAATTTTTGTGGTTTATTTTGCTAGAAGAATGATTAATTTGTAAGCATGTGCATTGAACACTGTTCCATTTGTTTCAGAAAATCAGTAGGAATTTTGTTTATGTACATGTATAAGTAAAGTATTAACAATACCATGAGAGTTAGATAATACTTGTGGTGTTCAAAACAAAAAAACAAAATATTTGTCTGATATTGCAACTACTGTAATTAAGTCACACATAAGGCCACAAAAAAAAATGTTTTTGATCATTGTTTATAAAAAATGTGTGTGACAGTCTTCTTTTAATTTTTTTGTCAGAATTTCAGAAAAACGTTCTTAAAGGCACGAACATGTGCATGCAATATTTCAGGAAAACAAATGACCAGAAATATTCTTTTTTTTTTTCTGGGGCTAGACATAACAAAAATACAGGTTTCTGAAAATTTATGGATTTTCTGAAGAGACATAACTGGACTGTGAATGAACGACTGTAATTGATTCATAATAATTGCATTGCAATGTATGGCATCAAAGTATTGAAGGTTGATATGCAGGCTTTGAGGTATGGTGTAATCTCTCTTTTAGAAGCATGTTTGTGTTTTGGCAGGCAACTGACTAGAACTGTTTTGGATATTTCATTTTTGCTATATTGAATTTCACAAATAGGTTATACCAGTATATACAGTGGTACAGTTTTAATCATTAAAATAGCAATTCCATTAAACATTGGACTGGACTTTGAAATAAGAGCAAGATAAGGGTTCCAGTGTAAATTTATTTTGGAATAAATTTAATTTAGTATTGTTACCAGTGAGAAACACTATTTCGTAGATTAACTTTTTATCTGGATGAACAATGCATGCTGGAAATTTTAAAAATGTTGAACATAACCTTATAATACCAGGTGCAATTTTTGATATTTTGTATTCTGAATATCGGCCACTATTCACACCAAACTTTGAAAATGCATTTACTAGATCGAGGCGAGAGTGTTTTTATTTTTAGTTGTTTGAAATTAAGCCAAAAAACCTGCATTACAACCTTAGAAAAGAAATTGTCTGTTATTATTACCTTTTTAGTCATATTACGATAATGAGTTACCAACGGTTCAAAAAAAAAGAAAAAACGCGAAATACAGCAACGCTACGTACAACTGTGCCATCCAACGGTGCAGGTGACTGCAATGTGATATTGGAATGACTTGGTGCGCCGATAGTGGGGCCTGCCCACTGGTGAGCGGAACGACCAACGTAAAAGAACATGTCATGCAAAATAAATGGATATAAATGTACGTTTATGTATGTATGTGTTTATCCTGTATGGAAGGTAACCCAACACTCAACCTAGGTTCAACTGTTCTCATGTCAAAACTGACTTACTTCGAGGATGGTCGGAATATACGTCTGTATCGCCACAGAACAATTAGCAGTATTATGAGCAACACCATGAAGACAAGGACCCCGACCACGGCTCCAATCACGCCCGGACTCATGCCGTCCTTGCTCTCAGCCGCTATGGCTGCTGCAGCAGCTACAATTCAACACAATTACAACTTGAAAAAGACAAGTAACATTATATTTTCAACTTACACCACAGCGGGAGTGTATCCCTTGCTTGTCGGCTGTTGACGTCTACGACAATATATGGCAAGAAATATAGCTATGGCGACCAAAAGGAGGCCAGTTATTATTCCTCCGGTAATAGACATGTGATAATTATTGTCACTATGACTTTCAGATGAGCTCCTGGCAGAGTTAGAGATGAGTTTGTATTCACCGGTGACTAGATGTGGAAACGACAGAAAGAGTTAGAGCACAATTACAGAAATAAAAGACATTTAACAGAAAGGACAGCCACAGATACACCAAAACAATACACAAATTTAACAGACACAGACAGGCATAGAGAGTTTATCTGTACATATTTCAGTTGAAAAAAAAAAAAAACATACATTGTTAAAGTTTCAGAAATAGAATTGTTAGTTGAACATGAAGACAAAGTGAACAGGATACTTTATAAATTGGGTGGTTGGGGGAGGGGTAGAAATAACAGTGTATGATTATTGCACTATAAGAAAAAAGGGGTAAAAGATCTGTCCCGGCACCACGTTTAACTGTGTGTAAGTATTTTTCATGCCTGCAGTACAATGTGCAGCAATCATGCAGACATATATTGTCACCCTTGTAATGAACCCTAACACCCCCATTGTATAAACATTTTAGTTCAACCCATGCTTTTAACAAGAATACTTTTTGAATATTAATAATAAGTTAAACAAAAATCAATTTCTTTTTGGATAAGGTACAGAGAAAATCATGCAATTTACACCAATATAAAATACTAATATTATTAGAATTTCATGGACACATCAAAGAGATTTAAGATTCATCAACACAGTATCAACAAATTATCACAAAGAGATCATAGGCAATAACAAACTTTTTGATTGGTATGAAAATAAATATATCAGTTTTCAAAACTTTTTAAGAAGTATCGGTACTTGTTAACTCTACAAAAGTAGCTTTTTTAAGAAGCAAAAAAATGACTATTTTGGTTTCAAGGGTTTTCTCTACGAGATACATAGAAGAATAGGAATGTTCTCATCAAACTGAAATTTAAAATACTTTTATACACCAAAGGGCCAACACATAGATATATTAAGATATTTGCGAGGGGAATTAACAAAAAATAATTAAAACTATGAATATTATCATTGTACTATCATTGACTCACATTGATCGCATTTTTCACCAATAAATCCCACGGCACATATACAACCATGGACGGGGTCACATTGGAAATTATCGCTGGTACAACCACAGAAATAGGCACATCCTGAACCATAAAATGGATATTCACATTCTGTAGAGTAAAGTGGAAAATAAACTTATTGTCAAAGTCGACTTCAACTCAAATCAGTGCGAGTGCTAATTGGCTTAACAGTTAATTAAAGCGACACTGTCTTTGTTACGTTGCATGCACGTAGGAGACTAAACACTTGTGATTACCGACAGAGTAGCAGCAATCAAACCCACACAGCTCATTACTGCATCTCGGCTTGATACAAAATTGTGGCGCTAATCACTGTTTTCTGCTTTCGTCAAACAAAGGGAAAATATCGTGGGATTATATATTTAGAATACTCATACCTTTTTCGCATTTATCTCCCCTATATCCACTTCTACAGTATCCAACACAGCTACCAGTAAAAGAATCGCATGTACTGTTATTGCAATCACATTTAGCAGCACATTTAGCACCATAACGACCCCATGGACATGCTGTATACAATAAAAACAATAGAAGTTATTCGATGACAGTCACCACCATCTGTATGTCTTAGCAGTTGTAACGTTATTACATTCTAGATACAAAGTATTGCGTTTGACATTTTAATTTTAATAACATATCAAATATTATTATACATCTGTCATAAGTTACAGCGTGTCATAATTTTGCGGTATTTTACGGGGTATTTTCATCCTACCATATTAGGAAATGCAAATTCCAAATATGGAATGCTACACACGTAGCCGTTCTCTAATAATAAAAACAAACGTGGCTGCCACATGGCTGTGCGTCGGTCGATACTGCCGCTGTACTGTCTTAATGCATACTTTGAAGGTATTCTCGTAATAACCTCATATTATTATACACCTGACACTAAAAACAACGGAATTTAGTCATCCGTAAAACACTGTACGTACAGGTTAGAAAATGTTACGAACACATTTGGATGTCTTCCTTATTTGGAAATCTGCGTAGCATTTATGTCATATACAAACACTCTTTTCGTTTAAATCGAACTTAGAAGTGCTATGTCATGTTATTGAATGCAAACAGATTGGGCTGTTATCTTTCATAAAAATTATGATTAGGAAAAAGAAATATAATATTAAGGTTATTACGATAATATGACAAATTATGCATTTGTATGATAATGCATTGACCTCTGTTATGCATTGGTTGATGTGATCGTCGTACTGCCTTAGTGCATACTTTTTGGTATTCTCATAATAACCTAAATAATATAAAATTTGACGGTTACACATTTAGTTATAGTTTTGGATACACTAGGTTTGAAGGTACATGTACATATTAAAGTGGAGGGGGGTGGTCACCTGCTCACACACAGGAATTGAGTCCTAAGCAACAACAGCAACGTACTCGTGGGGTTTGTAAACAATGTCACGCAGGTGACAAGTCCCCCGCTTTAATATTACATATAATCTTCATTATTACAATTAATACATGCTATATAAGGAAACACCTAATATTCCATATATGGGATGAAGCATACCATAAATGGAAATTAGTTTTCCAAATATGGAATGGTGAGAAGATGTACATGAAATGTAAGTTTCTATATACAATTTGAGCAATGCATAGAAATGACATTGACAAAACTGAGAAACTTTTTATGTTAGTGCATGCACTTACGTTCATCACAATTTTTTCCAGAATAGCCAGGTTCACATTCACAGTCACCTGTCACGTGATGACAAGAACCGTGCTGACAAGTACAGATTTCTTGACACATCACTCCATAGAAATTCATTTTACATCCCTACAATACAATATCATCATGCAATCAACAAACAAAACATGCAGAGTAAAAAAAAAAATTGTGCCAAGGTGTACATCCCCAACAGTGTTCTCCCAGCAGTGTTATCAAATGGCTAAAAAAGAAAGTCGAAAGATTACAAATAATGCAGGTCCGTTCAAAATCAAGGGTAGATAAAAAAAAAGGGCATGCAACTATGATGACATGCGGTGAACATTTCAATGATCATGAGAAACCGTGAGACAAGCAAACAGACTTCTAGAAATACTACAATGCTTTAATGAGTCAATAGAAATTTTTTTAGGGTTTGTCTCATGATTTACTCCCCTAGGAATGCACAAATGCATCATAGAAAATATAATTTGAACGATCTGCCTATTGTTTGATGATAAAAACGTTATTGGATGGATGCCTTGAATCTACATATTGTCATAAATCTACATATTCGATAAGAAACAGCTTCAAATCTCACACAACTTGTAAACTATCGCCAAAATCATATTCTACATAATTGTATTTATTCCAAATTATCGATTTCTCCAGCCAGATGCATCAAGACGGTGTACAATGTGCATATTAAAATGCAGTCACCATTTTTCAAGAGAAGTGATTTGAGAGAATCTAATGTCAGATAAACATTGGCAGTTGAACTTGCATTAATGACAACATGTCATTCTGTGATGAGGTAAGTTGCAGACCCTTATCTTTATCTACCCTTGAGTTAACCATAGACTTTTATTTTAGTGAAGAGTCTTTTTCGCGTGCAGTTTTAAAGCATTCTAGATTGCCAAATAGTGATGCCTAATGAAATAATGTAATTTTCATTTAAATTGTAACTTCATTAATACTTTAAGATTTTGAAACAGGATTTAATGGGCGAAACACACCCATCACAGAAGATGAACACTGTGCACAAAAACAAATAAATAAATAAAAAATAAATAAATACAAATACATTTATTAGAGCATTGACAATGTAATAGAGGAGTGTAACACAGAATAGAATAACAGAAACCCTACCTTTCTACCTAATGAATATATAACACTCCCTCTCCTGAAAGAAGGACTTTCACAGAGTGGCAGCAGAGGCAATGAGTACAAGGGTGCAGTCAATATTTACCTTCAGTGCACATTAGTCCTGTGTAGCCAGGTGCACATATACACTCCCCATCAAAACTGTTACATGAAGCACCATTCTCACAGTGACACTCCATTCCACAGTCTTTCCCATAATACCCTTGGGCACAAGCTGAAACATTAAAGAACATGTTTGATTGATACGGATTTGTCAATAGATAAATTTGGTTCAAATTCTAGGTTAAAGGGTGGCAGTCAACATGCCGTGTCATGTTCGATAGGGGACTCATAGCTACGTATACAACACATGTAAAATATATTGATTATTTACATGAAATTCGAACACGTGCTGCGCGACACCACTGCGCTTTAAAGTGTCAAAGTTAGTGGCATTGTTATGTCTTT